TTATTAAATCAAGGGTTTATATTGTTTGGCCAATGACATTTCTAATAACATGTACTTTTTTTTTATGTATACCTGTGTAAAAGAAGGACGCTATTCTAGGTGATTCTTGGTTATCTAAGGTTTGACAAAAATAAAGATAAATTTATATTTATGAAACCAAATAAGTATAGTACAAAATATACCTCATGAAAATTTTAAGGATACTTATTTGGTATTATAAATATTAATGTTTTTATTTATAGTTAGTCAAGCTCAATATACTTCAATTTAGGGTTTGCTTGGTTAACTTCCAAAATTTGTCATGCCAAAGATTTGACAAACCAAAAGTTGGGCAAAAAAATTTGCCATAAATTTGCCAAGTTAAATGTGAGGGTTTGGCAGGTTTTGGTAATAAACCAAATGCTAACCAAAATCATGGCTTACCAAAACTTTGGTATGGCAAATTTTGGAAGCGAACCAATCAGGCCCTTAGTATTATGCTAGAATTGTATTCTTCTGTGGGCTGAGGGTGTACTCCATCTGTCCCAAAACAGTTGACCTTAGAGCAAGTATATTGCTACATGTCAGCGGTCTCATACTTCGTCTCATGCAGTGCCACGTAGAATTTTTGTTGATGTTGAGGAAAGAGAGAGGGAAGAAAGAAAGAGGTCGTTGTTTCGCGAAACAACCACATCATATGCTAAAATCTAGGACTATGAGACAATTATTGTGTTATTGTATGAGTTGTTGTTGTCATACACCTCATAACTTTAATTTTATTTTATGCATAAATTAAGGAATTATGAGTTATTATGAGACAACTTAAAAGACAACCATTATATATATTGTCTATTAAGTCATCCTAAAATTATGTGGCACTATATATAGACCGACTATGAGACACCACAAATGTACTTGCCCTTATATGATTTAAATTCTGTCCTAAAATATTTGACATTCTCACTTCCCAATACGTCTTTCTCTTTTTCAATACACATTTTTCTTTTGCTAATACATCTCCATCTCTATCTCCATTTCTCTTTATCCATCTCCTTGTTTTCTTTGCACCACATCTTTTTTCGCTCATCTTAAATTTTCGTGTTCAAACCTAAATCGTTAAATATTTTGGGATGGAGTATTATTATTGTATTTCTTATTCTTTTTTATTTCTAATTGAAATCAATTTATTGGTTTGTAATATTTTTAGTATTTTAAGCTTACCTACTTTTATTTAAACTCCAAGTGCTTAATAATCTTTTAAATGCAGAATATTACGTGTTCATCTCATTAATTTGTACTCCTTCCGTCTAAAAATTTGGAGAAAGAACTACAAGAACACCCCGCGCATTGCTGCTGGAAGTACTGATTTGGAATGCAATTTAACTATTCATACGATTCTTAGAAAAGAGAAATGTTATCAACTAATGTTAGTGGATAGTGTGGCACGCTGATGTAGATAACTAAATATATGTTAGTGGATGATGCATCTCGCTGACGTGGATATAATAATTGAGTGTGCTAGTGAACTTTAATTGCAAGTGATAGTGGATTGCTGATGTGGACACCTTGCATGTCAAGAAAAATTATTAGTGGGGTTTACTTTATAAGAGTATGAGATAAGATAAGATAAGATAAGATAAGATAAGATGTGAGGTGGAGTTTGAGATCTGTGAGCTTTAGGAGGGAGCTTCCCAATGAGCTACAACCTATAGAAATACCATATTTTACTCTTTCTTCCTCTTTGATTGAGTTTTTCCCAAAAATGTTTTTATTAATTCCTACCATTTGATATTTCCGATGAGTCATCAAAAAAAATTTGTACAGGTAAACCTTTTTTCACGAAAAGGTCAATTAATCGGCCCCTACCTCATCATTTGTTTCCGTTCAACAAACAAAAACAAAAGGTCAACACAGTCAATATTGCCATTCGTTTCATTTTCAGCCCACTCTGGTTCAACTCTGAAACTTTGATGGCCGGCGATGCTGAAGCCCGAAAAACTGAAGACCGCTGCGCGCGACGACTACACCGGCGGCCATGAAAGTTGATGAATATATCTGCACTGTCCACCTCATCGTGCTCTCGATCCTTATCGTCGGAAGAATCTCCTCCACGCACGCAGCTAGGCAGGCTACTTGTCGATCGGATAGACCTAACTAAAGAAGTCGTAATTGATTGATTCAGAGATGAGATACGATGCCGCGCGCGGCCTGCCGGCGCAGCAAAAGATCCATGTCCATCCATCCATTCGATCGTATCTCTGAACTGTCTCCCGTCCCTGATGCGATGCTAGCTGCTGTTGAGCATCGTCGTCATCTATCTTCAGCCTGAAAACACATGCATGCTGCTGGCCTGCTGTAGATGATTCTACGCATGTAGAAACAACAGTGTATCTGTGGAATTGGATGCTACTGAATGTGCTGGACAAGTGCACCATTCACAACTCTAGTCTGCATTGGTTTCACTTCCAATTGTGGCTTGCACTTGGGAACAAGAATCACCAAAATCTTCTTGCTGAGGATACAAACTGCAAGTTGGTGTTTCATATTGATGTGCAGCTACCTAAAATTCAGACCATCACCAAGTATCAGCATGGCTTACTCATGAGCAACGATAACTGGCCAGATATCCAGGTGCCTTGGTATCCTGGTGGTCATCATCTCAATATTGCTTGGTTTTCGACATCAGTTTGGGTTTGGGATTCTGGAGATTTGGAGCACATTTGCTTGCTGTTTCTGAAACGGCTTGGGGACAAGCCGTGTTTCAAGGAGGGAAGAATGTCATGGACCTATTGGGCTATAGTGTGGACCGGACGGGAACATGGGCCAAGCACGACGTGGGCTGAATCACTGAGTTTGTGCCAAACCAAGGAGAGCAGATACTATGCATATCGAGGAGCAGCAACAGCACGAGGCGTCGAGAAACCAGACCACGAACCCGGCGGCGAGCATCTGCTCGAGGCGAGTCTCTGACTCGATTTACCTTTCCTTCCTTCCTTCCTTCCTCTCCCATTTACCTCAAAGCTGTATCCAGAACCTTCTAGAAGTTACTAGCTACTTTGATTATTGCTGTAATTTCGATTTGTGAGAGAATCCGATCTGGGTTCGTGACAATCTCTTTTTATTTCCTCAGTGTTTCCTTTTTTTTAATTATCTTTCTCTCGAAACAAAAAGAGAATAATGGGAAGCTTTAGCTAGTTCTCGCATCTTTTGATTCCTGTCCTCTCGCTATGGATTTTTTGGGCGTGCCGCGTGGCTACGTCGACATAACCGTTTCCTTCACAATTTTTAAGCTTTGATTGACTCCTCGCCTTCTCATAGGGCACCCCACCCGGCACCCACAGCTTCTCTCAAGAGACGATTATTCGTTCAGGGTACGACGACAGTGCACCTGCAGGCCGGTATGGCAGCTAGCTCAACTGGTTACAAATTCTCTTGTCTCCATGCATGCATGATGGACTTTGTTCTCTCTCGATTCGATTCGATCCGGAGACGGGGTAATGCAGCAGGGTCCCAATTAAGTTCCAATAATCGAGCACATGTATCTTGTATTGCTAGAGTAATGCTGCGGCTTAGTTTAATTTATACACTCATTTATTTTCTTCTAACATTTGGTTTCTAGTCAAGCAGCTAGTCATTACCATCAATTAGAGTACTTATGCATCACCACCACTACTACACAAATAGTTTTCACCAACGACAATTTTACAGTTGGTTTTATTAAAACCGTTGGTGAAAATGATTTTCACCAATATAATGGGTCATATTACGAACCAACGATGAAAATCATCACCATTTTCACCATTGGGTCATTGCACCAAATATTGGTGAAAATCATTTTCCAACTACCGCTGAAACCCTAACCCTTGCTTCTCACTGCTCTCACTCATCAGCCTCCTCTCTTCTCTCTTCTCTTGTCGTCGCCCCCACCCACCCCAACCTGGCCACTGCTCCCCACACACCCGAACTCCACGATAGCAGAATGTTGGGGATTGTGGCAGAGCAAACCCTTCTTAATCCCCACCCCTCGTGACGGCGGCACGATGGGCCCTCACGGAGCAGCCCCTTCTAATCCCCACCCATATGGCATGACAGAGCCTCGTGAAGTAGGACATTCTAATGCCCACCCTTCGCGGTGGCCCGACAAGGCCTCGGGGAGTGACCCCTTCTAACCCTGCCCCTCATGAAAGTGGCATGACAATGCCTCGTGGAGCGGCCCGACTAGCAGTATGGTAGGGCGTTGATGAAGCGGTGGCGTGGCCAAGCCTCGACAGAGTGACACGACAGGTGGAGTGGCATGGCCACGGCGAGCGGATCTTGAACTTGGTGGATCTGGTGGGGGAGAGGCTTGGCCATGGCAGATCTGGTGGTGGAGAGGGGGGGAGATGTGCCGACAGATTGTGGCTAGACACACCTAGAATTCGGTAGGTCTAGGGTGTGTGTTAGGAGCATAGATGGGCTAGATGTACCTATAGTTTGATGAGGATGGCGGCAATGACTGGACAGGACAACGACGATTGTTGAGATGTTGAGCTTGATGGGTTTGGCCAGCTCACTTGGTAGTTGTTTTTTTGTTTTTTTTCCAGTTATCACCGCGGGTTCATATAAGCCGATGGTGATAATAATTTTCACCGCTAATTCGAACTGTTCATGATAATCTTGGTTATCACCGCTGAATATTACTAGCAGAGGATAAAAAACCAGCGGTGATTGGGTCTCCTGAGCCGGCGGTGGTGATGAGTGTTCTGTAATGGTGCACCATAGTTCTTTTTCTAATCTTTTTAGTAATTTGAAATCAGATTGGTACAGCTGACGAGTTTTGGATCGACCTAATGATGCACGCATTGGAAACATATTGTGCATTTACAATAGTTATTCTCAGCTTAGGGCATAAAAAAACTGCCATTCACGCACGGACACTCTTTTATATCGATCTTCTCTTCGTTCTTGCCATGTCCTTATCCATCATGTATGCTATATATGAGGGAAAGAAAAGCTAGCGATGCATGCATGCGTGTGCGCGTTCACGTCTGCTCGATCCGTCCTATAGCCAGAGCGCGCTGGCGCTCTTGAGCATGGGCACGAGCTCGCCGGCGAGGTGCAGGGCCATGACCCTGTTGGTCCCGCCGACGAGGTCGCCGCCCACGAACACGCCGGCACAGCGGGTGTTCCGCGGCCGCCGGTGCCGGCGCCAGCGCCGAGCCTATTGGCAAGCTCCTCTCCATCTCCGGGCCCCGGGGGTCCCTGTCCAGCTCGTGCACGGCCGCGTTCACGCCCAGGCTGCTCAGCAGCGACGTCACGACGTCGCCCATGCTGCAGTTGCTCGCCGTGAACACCACCACCGTGCGCTCTGACGCCAGCTTCGCCACGCGGTCCATTGGCAGTGGCAGCTTCCGGTTGCTGTCTTGCTGATTGTTGTGACGCCCGGAAGGTTCTGGGTTTCGTTAGCTTGGAAATGGTTGGCTGGATGTGGTTTCTTGTGTTGTGCTGGGCATGCCGCCATGGCTTGCCTTTTATAGGCTGCTGGGAAATATTTGCACGTAGCCACGTACCTACTCGCTGTGTAGATTATTAAGATTCTTGCACGTGCCGACTAGCTACTTGCTGTGGATTAAGATTCTTGAAAACCTTTTTTATAGTCCTTAATTAGGAAGTGTTATCACCTAAACATGTCATGCATGCATGTGTAATTAACTTGGACTTGTTGGCTTATATAACTGACAAGTGGTTCTTCAAGCGATCGAGAGCAGGTTAAAGCTCACTAGTATATAAACATTTTTGTTACATATAACTAAAAAGTCGATTTCTTGAGGCTCTAATCAAAGGCACGTGAAAATGGGTGGCTGAACAACCGTCTCTACAAATATATTTTTGGAGGCATGAGGTGGTGGACTTGAGCTATCTGTCTCTAAAAATTGGTTCCATTCAACTTGGGATGAGTCTCTGTGCACATGGCCTCTTTACGCATGTTTGGCCTTTTGAATGATCTCAAACGAAAAACTTGTCAACTAGAAAGTTTTAGAATTTGGTGAGATGTACAATTGTCATATAAAGTTTATATTTATCTAACTATAATAACGTTAGGTCCTCATCTAACCTCCCTCTGCTACATCCTTCCTGGCCAAGACCGTCGCACCCTACCACAAGGCCGCTCACCCTCTCCGTCATAGCCTCTAAGTTTGGCAAAGCCGCATCAGCCGCAAGTGCATATCAAGACCGATTGGACCGTAATGATACAACCACACAAGATTAAGTACCGCTAGTGGACTTTTTGCCTCCTTGTTTTTCTAGATGTGGTCTCTACAAATAGCGCTATTTTAAGATCATCATGGAGGACATAACTGACTCCCTGAACACAGGGTGGGACGAAATGTACATGGAGTCTAGAAGATATACAGGGTATCCGGTATCCCACAAACATGATACACAATACACAGATAAATATCACATCCCCAAATCTTGGGAGACCTCGTTGTAATAAGACTAGAAATCAAATCCTAGAAGGGAAGGATAACCAATCTATAACCCTGCCATCGGACAATATAAGGAAGGTATATGTGTCCCTTCCCTACACCTATACAAGCCCATAGAGTCTCACCAGCTGACATACACCTTAGATGTCTCAATATTACCAATCTCACATAAGGCAAACAAAAGAAATATAACCACACAAACATAGGACATAGGGTATTACATCCTCATTAGGGTCCAAAGTTGTCTAAACTTTGTATCTCATGTGTTAGCTACCATCTTGTTCTCTGCACAATACCCATAAACATTGCTTTTACAATAAAACACCAACAATGTCCCTATCATTGACAGGTCAGTCGTTCCATGCAGTCGATGATGTTGGTTTCTATGAGACACTGATGTACCTAAGGCATGGCTACCCTAGCCTCTGGCCAAGACTCCACTATGGCTGGTCAATGAATAACTCATGTATGGAGAAGATGAGGTCTAATGTGTTGCTAGGTGTATTAAATTACCATGCTCACAGTTTAGTTGATTAGGTTCCTTGTGGTTTTCCCACATTGTTTGAGGTTCTCGACTTAGTATAATTGCTCACATTTTTTAGGATTTATGAGCACTTTTCTTTTAGTAAGTAGTGGGTAATGTGCATGTCGATAGTGAGATGCAAGTGATAACTTCGTCAAACTCGAGATCTGTTAGCTTAATGTTTCGGAGATGCTCATAGGAATATGATGTGGTTCATAGGAGTATGGATCCGGATCCAACATGTTTGTAAGTGTCTGTATTGAAAGGCATGAAGTAGGAGTGAGTGTTTCTAGTGCGATGTGTTTCAAAAAAGAAAATCACCTAGTTCCAAAAATACAATTATGTAGCGAATTGAGCTCAACTTCGGTTCTTTGTGGTAATGGATTCACGTTTCTATCTTGACGCGTGTGCTCGCATTTTTTACCCGGGGTTCAAGTCCTTTTCTTGACATAGGTGCTTGCATTGTCTAGATTTATTTCAGGATTTAGTAGGGTTGGATGTATATTCCAGGATTTAGTAACTTTAGATATGTATTCCAGGATTTATTCCTGGATCACCAATTTTGAAATCTGCTGAATCAGCCTTTCGAAAGTCATATGAGATGACGTGCTGTGATTCGCAGGAAATAAAAGACTATTGGGTGGGTTACTGTTGTAGTTTCGTGGCACACATGCACGCATAACATAAAGCATGCATCCAATTGCCCGTTTGCTGTTTGTGCTTTCTTTGCTCCGATCCTTATCGGAATCGGTCCGCTTCTCGGTCGGCCATCCGGATATCGCCGTGTCTCAAGATGCGATGGGACGATGTTTTTTTTTCTTTTAATAAAAAAAGGAAAAAACTGCGACGCCACGATCAGACCACGGCGCGGCGCTCTGGTATATCGCATTCTCGGGTTTCTTGGATTAGCTAGGGCCGGTGCATGTGTATCTTGGATAGAGAGATATTGTTGATGCATGGGTGCTGCAGGGCATCTGCATCAATGTCTTGTTATTCGTCAACCCTCCAAAAACACGTGTTTGGTGAATCCCTAATTGGAGAGGATCGAAAGGGATTGAAGGAGGCGAAAGGGAGACCTTTAACTTGTAGGAAGTAAGATTTCTCAATCCCCTTAGATTGAGGATTAACCGAATGAATAAACCCTAAGGAGTTGGGTCAACGAGCTAATAGTACGTCTCAATGATGGCTAATAGAATGTTTTTGTTCGTGCCATGCAGCACAACCATAACTGCATATCACTGTTAGGCAAATGATTTTTAATATTGCCATAGATTGTGAAGATGTAGACTTTGTAGAGATGGCTTGTAACAGCCATCTTTTTTTTGCAAAGAAGAGAGAGCTTTATTAATTACTCGGAGTTTAGGATACAATCTCGAGTTGTACAATTTGCTCAGCACACTAAAACACCAAATTGCTGAAGTGTAATTGCCACTGGAAATGCATTTCAAGTCAAATGTCCCTCGAGCAGTTGTCTTAAAGACAACCGCCTTTTGAAATGCTTTTGCAAAGGCTGTGCTAACTCAATAAAACTTATAACCTACAGGAAAATTCACTCATGAGCTTCCTAGCAAGGTAAATCCAAATTTAATATAATTTTACCTATTGCATTAACAACTAATATTAATTTAAGAGCGTATAGGGATTTGTTAAATCTAAATCCAAATCTCTTCAGAGGTTACGTGGCTCCATCTGTTTTCGAGTAATTGTTACAGTTAATATCACTATTGTTGCTACCACTGCCCACTCACATGTACAATGACCTTCAGAATCTCGATTGACAAATGAAAATGTATCACTAGATTTGATCTTGCATGGCACTTACATAAATATTATGCATTTGTGAAATATTTATAAACATGTTTTCCATAAGAAAACACACACCGTACCTTCTGTATTTGTAAAGAGAATTCCCTCTATGCCCCCCCAATGTTACCATGATATCCCATAACATTTCTAGCATTGCTTTAGAGATTTTTGGTTCTTTTCTATATCACTGCTGTTAGCACAACTACCTCTCTCCACACCGTCATTACTTAGGTGGTTGTCATATTTCTTTTTTGAAAGTGACTATTTTTCCCTTGGTTATAGTGGGTCCGAACAGTTAATGTCAACAATCTAGTCTCCTCCGCCCCTCCCCTGATGCTCCCCTCCCGATCTCGTCTTCCCTCGGCACCAGCTTCAACTGCTGGGTCCTCACCTTGATGGTGTACCGGCACCAGCTCCGCGATGAACCCTTTGACACCCTATGCGACTCTAAGGATTGATTGACGGCTAGATGGAGGGTGCATAACCATGGGAACAAATATGATACAAGATTTTGCCTCGAGGTTTGATGGCTTGGCATGCCAGCCACCTATGTTCCAGTTGAGGCGTGCCCATGATCACCACCCTCCATATGCTCAAAGATCCCAGAAGATCATCTCCGATGTGAGCACTTGCCTATGAGCCGGCTCAATCATGAGGTACACCACAAGCCTCGATTCCATTATCTTTGTGTTGCGCGCGAAGATAAGCACAGAAACCCTCAACAAATCCTCGGAACACAGGACACAAAAACGTGTTTTCAGTGAAAACGGAGGTGGCATTTTATTTATTCCATTCCAAGCACAGGACACAAAAAACCTGACATTCGTCGCACACTCTTCTACATCAATCCTTTCCCATTTTATTGTTCTTACCGTACGTCCTTTTTATTCACATGTACACACACCTGATGGAAAAAGCTCACCAGCCATGCTTGCATGCGCGCGGTCCGCGGATCGACGTTCTCAACTCCTACAACAAGAGCGCGCCGGCGTTCCTGAGCATGGGGCACGAGCTCGCCGGAGAGGTGCAGCGCCATGACCCTGTTTGCCCCCGCCGACGAGGTCGCCGCCCACGAACACCGCTGGCACGGTGGGGGTGCCGCGCCCGGCGCCGGCGCCGAGCCTCCTGGCCAGCTCCCGCTGCATCTCCAGGCCCCGGGGGTCCCTGTCCAGATCGTGCACCGCCGCGTTCACGCCCAGGCTGCTCAGCAGCGACGTCACGACGTCGCCCATGCTGCAGTTGCTCGCCGTGAACACCACCACCGCGCGCTCCGACGCCAGCCTCGCCACGTGGTCCATTGCCATCCTCTGCTGCTTGTTTACCTAGCTTGTCCGGACCTGAAGGTTCTAGAGGCTTCTAGGTCCCCTCTCCTTGGGTGCTGAGATGATTTCGAAGGTGGTGTGGTTTCATGCTTTACTGGCCATGGGACGGCTTGCCTTTTATAGGCTGGAAAAAGGTGTTGGATTGTTGGTACGTACTAGTACCTACTTGCATTGGATTATACTCCGTATGTTATAGATAGAAGACAGAAGATTCTATTCTTGACAACTAACTGATAGCATTTGCTGAACATGTT